GAGCAGTATCTACACCCCTATATGTAACAAATTTTGACAAATCAGCATTATATGAACATTTCATCAAATAAGCAAATGAATATGGGGCATGTTTGGGGAGTATGGGGAATGTTTTAATCGTGTATGAACTTTCGGCAACCATCATTCCATATTTATTGATCTTAAAATTGGTGGTTGGTGTTGTAGTACTAACGAGATAACAATCATTCATCTTATGACGTAAAAGCAATCTCTCGCTGGAAAAAACCATCAAACATCCATCACAAAAATATTTTTTTGTTCATGAGCTGATAGTTGACTAGGAACTGATCTTGAAAAATCTTTGATCCAACAATAGTGATTATTACCGGAGTCATCAGTTATAAGTAACAAATTGACATATCTCCGTAGTCTTCTCTGTGAGTATCGCAATGGACCAATCACATCATACTTGATTTTGCCCTTGTCAAATTCACTCTCTGAACCGTAAACATTAATTGAAATATCATTCCCATCTTCGAATCTTTCAATACTCTTATTATTAACTTTAACCGAAAAATCCATACCTGTGACATCTAAAACATCAGAAAAATGTCGATATGACGTAACTTCGGACACTACCATTTGCAGGATATAATGCTGATGTTATAGCCCGAGCAAAACAGTGTTCATCTTCGTTACGAACATTCACGACAGCTTTTTCTCCTTTCAATGCATTCGGGCAGCTTCACATATGAACGTCCTCCCAGTGGACTGTATTTATTAATATTGACCCCGAGAAACATCATTTTTTCACAAGTCCAACCTAAATTACAAAAAAAATTTAATAACTATTCAATCTCGTTGAAATTTACAAAAAATAGATACCTGAGTCACGTTCCTGGAATTCATTATTCATTGATGTTGACCTCGAGAAACATTATTTGCCCACAAGTCCAATCTAAATTACAAAAAAATGAATATTTCTATTCAATCTCGTTGGAATTTACAAAAAATAAATACCTTGAGTAATAATCTTGAGTCTGGAGAATATAATTCCCAAACACTTCCATATTCATATTGATGCTTTTATGGATCCTGATGGCAGATTCCAGTAATTCAGTGACCTTCTGCCCAATCTCATTAAACTAAGACATGTTGTCAGATAATTGAACACATGCATTATTTTTATGACTTATGGTTCTTCGGTGAGAATTCACTTGGGTCATAGGAATTGTCACATTACAACAATTGCATGTATACATGGGTGTTGTATTGTCCACTCTTATCCGTTTCACTGGAGGCCCTCCTTGGCAACTCTGGAGCTGATGCCGACGAAGATTATCACTACGAGTGAAATATTTACCACAGTCACAGTAATACATTTTCTATGATACGTTCTCACTAACTCACTTGATGAAAACTGACATAACCAACACTCGTCCGCTTCTTAGATACAGTCTGATCGAGTCCATCAAGACGTCATAGCCATCCCCTCCTCTCAGCTACATGCATTAATCCAACCTCTCAGCTAGATGCGTTAACAGATATCGATACGAACCAATAGTGCTCGTTGCGCTCTCGTAGAGGGCAGACGTTAACACAGTCCTCGTCACCTGCGCGTCACATCGACAACGAGGGTAGAGCGATGCGTTACGTCACAGCCATCGCCGCATCGAGAGAGAGGTGTTGGCACACCGATGAATACGCATTACACAGCCACATGTCGTGGAATGAACATCTCGCTCTCCTATCTGGTGGTCTCAAACCGTCATTACTTGGAGGATATTTGAAGATTGCAGACGTATGTTTGTACAGAGATACGCACATGATAAACCCTGTACCGTGCATTCTCACACAGACACATACAAAATATCATATGAAAAAATTCTGAATGATACATGCACCAGACACTTCAAGGTCACATCGCCTTGACTTCACTAAACAAAAAAAAAGCAATTAATACGTCATAGTGGTGGGGGAGGCCCAGAAATGGCTGTAATCTGCTACTGATATCTCTTCAGTTGTGGTACTGTCAGATTAACGCTGGCAGTTCACTACTATTTTGACGTATATGCTGATGTTAACTTGTTTTTTTCAGTAGTATCTAGATAGAGTTTGTTGGAAAAGTTATGACATTGTGTATGCCCAGAACTTTTTCGTAGGGGAGAGTGATGTAATACCTAGCAAAAGCAATGTATGGTAATATACATTCTAACTTCGGGAAGAGACGGATTTCTTCAATTCATGATATTTTCAAACGCCGTATCTGTCTCTCATACAATGTAAATTACGACAAAACCGAGAGTGTTTATATAAACACTACTAGCTTTCGGCCGCGGCTTAGTTCGCTTTAAGAAATATTATTATCAATTAGTTATAGTTTTTGCGACTTTACTTTTGTTTAGCGTGTGTAAAAATCACGGCCTACAGAACTTTTTTCTACACATTATTAGTGGCTTTCACTATATTGCGATGTAACGCTTTCACTTGCAGTCTCGTACCGTTACAAAGTTTTGGTGGTTTTAAATTTCACAACAACATAATTGGAGTGCCCACACGCAGAATAAGCTTATGACAAGGCAAACCTGGCGGTTTCAATGAATTCAAAAATTATACAGGGTAATTAGTAGCGTCATCTGTATTAACCACAGTATCAATCGAAGTATAGACCTTTTCTTCTCCCTCAAACGACATGAGCAAGATATCGTTGATAGTTGCTGCTTGATCGTTTTTTGGAGTATGTATGGAGCTTGTATGTATATGAATAATGTCTGGATAAACTTTAGACAGCAATTCCTGAACCGTAGTAACAACTGTGCACAGTTCTTCCGGGATGGTTATCATTTCATCAAACGATGGAAAATCACCATTACCGATTTTAAGAAGGAAATCTGAAAATCTACCAGCAGACTCATCCCGCCCAAATGTACTCTCATATTTTCAGAGAGCTTAAGAATATCAACCTGGGGCCACAAATTAGATTTCTTAATGCACGACTTTACTTCGTCAGCTCTGGTTCCTTTTGGCACCACTGGTAGAGTCTGCCGAAAGTCTCCGGCCAGCAAAACTGTTACGCCACCCATTAATTCTGTATTACCCCTTCTGCAAAATTACTTTGTTTGGAGATGTTGTAGATGGGGAGTCTCGGTAGTGATTAAATTGAGTGGTAACTCAAAAGTAGTATGAGCAGTTCGACCACCTTCGAGTAATGTAGCAGCTATGCCGGACGACGCCACAGCCAGGGCAATGCCGTGAGTACTTCTTACTTTCGCCAAAAGTAAATTAATGAGGAAAGTTTTACCAATTCCTCCTGGAGCATCTAAGAAGAATATTCGACCGTCATTTGCATCTACACCTGTGATAATTTTATTGTAAAATTCCTGTTGCTCGTCATTCATTTTTTCTTACTGAGTCTTCTAAGGCCACGGTATCGTAACTGGTCTCCTTCACGTACTCTCTATTTTCGAAATGTATTGATGTTATTGGCTAAGGTAATCCATACTCTTCAAGAGGACGGCCGCCTAATGATAATATGGCATCCTCTAATACCGACAGGCATTTGTTAAATATCAGGTCCGATGAGTGCTCTACATCCACGTCACCTTGTCTTTCCAGTTGTTTTTTAAAGTCTTCAGAAAGATATTATTTGTATTTTTCCCAAAGACATAGGGCTCGGACACCTGTCAGAACAATAAAATGATAACAAAAAGCTCTCGAATCATATGCGGTGTTTGACAAAGTGCTGCCTCTTGTAGCATTTTTAGAAAAAAAAATTCATTACATATTTTCCATTACATTTTTTTGGTGTTTCGTTTCTAATAAGAAATGGTAGGAAATCAATAAGGTCTTTGATAATTATTAAATTGGTCACAGATTAAACAAAATATCAATCTTTGGAATTTTACTACGAAATAAATTAAATTATGATATCGTGAGGTGAAATTTCAGGTAGTCATTTCTAGCGAGAACGTTTTTATTGTTTGGTGTTTTTTGGGGCTATCGCCGATAGGTATATTTGCGATAACCTTGCCGGGTTTCTGACAAATCTAGATTTATTTTTATTTTAGAAGTTATTTTGCGGCATCGCCAAATCGAATAGTTTGTAGTAAATAAGTTTTTTTATTTCAATTAGAAAATTCGAACGTAGGTAATTCAAAATGGAGTCTAAGTTTAAGGCAAGTCATTTACTCTTGAATGAATTGAATTATGAATTAAAAATACGTGGAGTTATTTCAGATCGGAAACAAGATGAAAAACGAAAAATATTGAGTCGTTTATTAATAAAAGAGTTACAATCAGGAACTGATGTTAGAACTTTTTCGAATCCTGAATATGATTTCAATAAAGAAAAAATTGAAATTAAAATGAAATTTTAAATTCATTGCAGACACTAATTAATGATTTTGAGGTTCCCAATTCCGATTCCATGTATAAAAGAGCTGTTACTCGGCTTACTCATATCATTTTTCGTATTCAGAGAATAATTTTAGATAGAAATGATCCAGATTTAGATTTGATTTTGAAATTCAAGAATGAATCTTATGCTACAGCTTTGCAATTAGATGCAGACCTTCATGAACGTGTTCAAGATCAAGATATTGCTACTTCAATGCATAATTCTAGTAATATAGATGCACTGTCAATGAATATCACCTCCAATGTGGGTAATCAATTGAATTCTTCCTCTTCTACTTCTAAGACATTTCCTGTGTATAAACTAGGAATTTCATTTGATGGAAATCCTAAAAATCTTCTGGCTTTTATTGAGAAAGTTGAAGAACTTGCTAAAGCCCGTCATATTTCAAAAAGTCAACTCTTTGATTCTGCTGGTGATCTTTTTGATGGAAAAGCTACGTTTTGGTTGCAACAGGTACGCTCACAAGATAGTGATTGGGAGGCTCTAATTGCAAAACTTAAAAAAGATTTTCTTACAACAGATTTCGATGATGAGATTTGGAATCAAGTCAGAACTAGGAGACAAGGTAGACATGAACCTGTGGTTATTTATATAGCTTGCATGGAAACTTTGTTCAGTAGACTCAGCCGAGCTCCTGCTGAACCAACTGAAATAAAATATTCCAAATTAGGTCTACAAGAAGAATATAGGAAAAGGCTATCACTCAGCACAATTGATAATGTAGAAACCCTTGGCAACCTATGTAAACGATTAGAAGAAGCTAATATCTTCAATACAGCCAAAAATAGTCATACAAATAATAATAGATATATTTCAAATTTGTTAGACCCCGAACTTGCTTATGTCTCTGATGTTACTTCAAGTAATGGTTCAACTCGTTTGAGAGGTAAACCTAGAAACAGTTCTAGAAATAAACATTATGATTCAAGCGCGGTTTCGCAAAAAAAAGGAAACAATCAAGAAAAATATTTCAGATAGCAATCAAGTAAATATAATTCATTCAAATATTGAGTCAAACGTGATACGATGCTGGCGCTGCAACTTGGAAAACCATACTTTTAGGAATTGTAAAAGTAATATTCGGAAACGATTTTGTTTTAAGTGTGGATTTCCAGATGTCACTTCTAAGGATTGTAATCAATGTAAGGGAAACTTGTAGTGGGGGTGAGTGGAAATAGCTCACACTCTCCTCCTTATACCACTGGAGCTATTAGTAATTCGTTCAAATTTACAAATGAATATTTTTCTCAGGTAGATTGGGACTCGTGGAAAAAGGAAGTCAAACATTTTCAAGAACATAAAGTTTTTTCTGAACATCAAGTTTCACCATTTTTTATTAAGAAGCCTTGTGATAATAGGCCTTACATATTAGTTAAACTTTTTGATAAGGAAATCCTTTGTCTTTTAGATAGTGGTACAAATGTAACAGTTGGAGGAAAGGAAGTTTTAGACATATTGAAAAATCTCAATTCGAAAATAAATCCATCAGATAAGAAAAATATTTTTACTGCCGATGGATCACAACAAATTGTTAAAGGCGTAGTAAATTTGCCAATTACCATAAAAAATGTTGTTCATATAGTCCCAATTTCAATTGTTCCTTCATTGCCGCACTCATTCATTTTTGGTAGTGATTTTCGCGATAAATTCAAAATCAAAATAGATTTCAATAATTCAACTTGGAATGTTTATAGTCATGTTACTGACAGTTATCTAATCCCTTTGGTAGATCACGATACTTCTGTCTATGAATTTTCCGATAAGCATGTATTGACATCTTTTGAATTGAGTAGTTTGAAAGATTTAACAGTTGATCAAAAACTAGAGGCGGAAAATGTTATCGAATCATTTAAAGATATTAACAGTGACATTCGCTTAGGTCGAACTGACAAAATAATATTCTCTATTGATACTGGGGATGCAAAATCATTTCGTGAAAAACAATATTTGATGAGCCCTTATATGTAGAAAATGTTGAACTCAGAATTGGACGATATGCTTAAATTAGGTGTAGTGGAACCGTCGCATAGCCCGTGGAACAGCCCAGTTCTGCTAATAAAAAAGTCCTCCGGTGAATATCGTTTTTGTTTTCATGGGCGGAAATTGAACGAAATTACCAAGCATGATAGCTATCCTCTTCCTCGTATAGATAGGATTCTGAATCAACTTCGAAATTCCCAATTCATTTCTAGTATAGACCTCAGGAAAGCTTTCTGGCAGGTAACCTTAGACGAAGCATCCAAGGAGAAGACAGCTTTCAGCGTCCCAGGGCGAGGTCTATTTCATTTTTCAGTTATGCCGTTTGGAGTTCGAAATTCTGCTCAGACTCAGGCCAGGCTTTGTGCTTTGTTCGGTCCTAAGTATGAACCACATATATTCACATATCTTGATGACATATTTATCACGTCTGCTACTTTCGAGGAACATGTTGCCCTACTGGCCGAAGTTAAAAATATTTTGAAGGAAGCCAATCTAACTATTAATCTAAAAAAGTGTGACTTTTTTAAAACTTCCTTAATTAGAATTTGGGATTTGTCATAGATAGGCAAGGCATCCGCACAGAGCCAGAGAAAGTGGCAAGCATGGTGAATTATGCACGTTCTACAACAAGTACCGAGATCAAACGTTTTATTGGATTATGTTCGTAGTATAGGCGATTCATCTCGAGTTTTTCAACCTTGATGGCACCTATTAGTAGTCTACTAAAAGGAAAGAAGAAGCAGCAGCCAATTACGTGGACGACAGAAGCAGAAGAAGCTTTTCTTAATATCAAAAAAGCTCTCATTACAGGTCCTATTCTCAGCCCTCTAGATTTCTCTAAGGCTTTTACGATCCAGTGCGATGGTAGTGATGTAGGAATTGGTGGAATATTGACACAAGAAGTTGATGGTCATGAAACCGTTATCGCTTATGCTTCTCGGTCATTATCTAGAGCTGAACGGAACTATAGTGTGATTGAACGAGAATTGCTTAGTTCAATATTCCTCATTGAGAAGTTTCGTCCTTATTTCGAAGGAGTGAATTATAAAGTAACTACTGATCATTATAGTCTTTTGTGGCTTTCAAATTAGAAAGAGCCAACAGGTAGATTCGCCAGATAGGCAGTGAAGTTAAGCCAGTACTCTTTTGATATCATACATAAAAACGGTTCATCAAATGTCGTTCCGGATTTTCTATCGCGTATACCTCCCAGTGATTCAGACATGGATACAACTGAATTGAATTTAGTAGATGTTTTTCCTGATAATAAAGATGTTTGGTATACAAATCTTTTTGAAAGGGTACAGAAAGATCCAAACTCTTACCTGCAGTGGAAAGTTGAAAATGACACATTATATAAATATGCACCTTCTAGAATCAATTTTCATGTAAATGAAAGGGAATGGAAAATTGTCGTTCCAAAAATCAAAGAAAAAAAGTCATTGAAAATTCTCATGATCCTCCAACCTCTTCACATTTTGGTTTCTACAAAACTCTATCTCGAATTAAGTAATATTACTATTGGCCTAGACTGAGAAGAGACATCTTGAAATATGTGAAAACTTGCTTGATTTGTCAATCTCAAAAAATATCCAACGCCCCTCGAATTGGCACTATGGGAAATGAAAAAACGGCCAGGTTCCCTTTTCAAATTATAGCAGTCGATATAATGGGACCGTTTCCTCGTTCACCAAATGGATTCACCCATTTGCTTGTTGTCGTAGATTGGTTTACAAAGTATACGCTACTCTGTCCAATGCGTAAAGCTACCGCTCCAAAAGTGGCAAATTTTTTAGAAAACAGTGTTTTTTTGGTATACGGAGTTCCCGAGTTCATAATATGTGACAATGGTCCACAATTCGCAGGAAAAATATTCAAAAAATTGGCTGATGAATATCAGGTTCAAAAAATATGATTCAGTCCAAGATATGCAGCCCAGTGTAATTTCGTGGAGCGAAATAATAAAACTATAGGCCAAGCAATCAGAAGTTATATCGGTGAACACAAGTTTTGGGATAGGGAGCTACCAAAAATCCAACAAGCTATAAATACTGCAAATCATGAAGTACATAATTACCCTCCGTCACTTTTGAACTTTGGTAGATACGTACGCTTATCCGGAAAACATTACGGTGAAGTATCCAGTACAAGTGATATTCATTTACTACCTGAAGATCGAAATGAATATTACAAAAATATTACAGGTTTATCGAATATATTTAAAGGAGTTCGTGAAAAATTGCATATTTCCTACAAACGAAATGCAAAGGCATATAATCTTAGAAAAAGAGATTTCCCATTTCAAGTTGGTGAAAAGGTTTGGCGCCGAAATAAAATTTTATCAGAAGCCGCGGCTCAGTTCAGTGCTAAATTGGCACCGAAATATGTTTTGAGTTTTGTTAAGCGAAAAGTTTCTCGTCTTGTGTATTCTTTAGAAAATGCCAATGGATCTCCCGCAGGAGACTGGCATGTGAAGGATTTGAAACCGTATTTCGGATCAAATTCCGAAATTTCAGTTGGTTGATTTTGTAGTCATAATTTTTCGAAAGTAATCTCGTGTAGTGAAATACACGAAAGGAAAAATATTGGTACCAATTATTTGTAAATATGTAAATATCTTCAGAATGTCACTTCAAATAGAATCTCAAATAGATTTAGTGGAAAATATAAGGAATTTTTGCTTTCATGTATATATTTTAGATTAAGGAATAGATTGAAACAATTGTTTTTAGTCCTAACCGATTGTGTCGTGTTCCATGATTTAGTAACTCCCGATTCAGTATTCTCGATTTTGATTTCCATATGGATGTTTGGTACGCAAAAGATACCGTTTCAACAACTGTTGTCAAATCTTAAAATGAAATGAAGCACCTTTTGTTTCATTTATTTTTTTTTTGAGAGGGGTTGTGTAGCGTTCAGTTTGTCTTACTTTAATTTTCTACAATTTTTGAAATAAATCCAAGAGAAGTCAGCTCATACAGGACACCATTCGAACACTTTTGTGTATGGTTAGTTGCCAGCTCCCAATTAATGCGGAATTTTAAAATATCTCACCTTCCATTTGTCCGATAACTGAGGTGTATTGAATTCGATTGGTAAAACCAAGCACGATTCTTTTCAAGGATAAGGCTTCAGTTCGATATTTTTTTCCTGTGAAGGCAGATGTGCCAAGGTGGTTGTGAAGGGACACAGTTTTTGGATTTGAATTCTTCTTCCTGTCGAAATTGATAATTGCCCTTCCTGAATTGAGTAAAATAATATTCTGGCTATTTTGTAGACTAGCCCTGGAAATTCCAGTTTTTTGCTTAATCAAACCACGAGGCTCCCGGTTTTTGAAAGATACATCATTGCCTACCCTCTTTAGAGGTAAGTCTTTAAGAAGCCCCAGAAATTGCAGAATACTCTGGATACCTTTTTGTGTTGGGTTTGCTTTAACTAAAATTCAATCTTAGAGTTGTAGGATGACATTAGGCGAATAAGTAGTTTATGTTGAAAAGAGTGAATCTAATCACTTTGCTGTTGCATATGCTATTACGTCCAACTCGGCTAGAGGCTAGAAGTACAGAAATGTCTGATCTTTCCCTTTTCTTCAATTGTGGGGAAAACGTCCTTGGTGGTGTCCAGCTAGATAGTGTTCTACCTCCATTTTACTGTTATGTGAAGAGGACCAATGAGTCCAGAACTTATCATTTATTTCAACTTATAATGTTATTTTAACCTATTTCAAATTTTTATAAAAAATATAGGGGAAGTGCTACACATAAATCTCTATAAAATATCATGATTATGATGCTATAATGTTGTGAGCTGATGCATAGTACTATGGGTAAGCATTTTTCAATTATGATGTGATATAATCTTGCAAAATTGAGTTCTCAGTCTTACTCAAAAATATCTTCGATTTCCATATCACAAAAGCCTTTTGTTTCATATAACTCTAATATACTTGTATTTATTTCAGTTGTTTACTATTTATGCTATTACTTAATAACCAAATCCACAAAAATACGTTCCCATCAATTATCTCCATTTAATTTCCCAGCTTTATAAATGATTTAACAAAGTTGGGTGGCGCCCATTTCAATGTTAATTTGAATTTGATGAAAATAATCTTTTAACCAACCCATAGTGCTCTCCGGCCAAAAGCTGCCGTTCGCAAATAAATGTACAGCGGATTATTGACTTATCAATTATTTGCTGTTACACTCTTCAAGAGCTGAATCCAAATGCCGATCATCTTCGAGTAGACCTAGAGCTGCACGAGGATTGGAAAGTGGGATGTAAGTGACCATCTACAGTTTTCAACGCTTCTAATGAAGCTGGGCCTCTAATCTCATGCAGAAGCATTCTGTATTTTTTGGATGAACAGTATAAACTCTACCTAGAACGTGTTCCTTTTTGACCCCTGACCATCCTTCAACATTCACTCCTCTCTTCCTTCTCTGAAACCATCGCTTGTTCCAAACGTAATACGCAGGGACTTTCTAGTGTTTTTGCAAAGTTATCCACGTTACATAGATCGAAAAATGGGGAGGAGTGTAGTTGTAGGAGGCTCCACTCAATTTGTCACTTAAGTTCTGCTCATCAAAATAAATTCTCTGTCCATTTTCTAAATGAACAGCAAGGTGCACTACAGGAGGAAAACGCTCATGTATTGACAATTCAAGGATTCGCCAAACTGCTTCAGCTGAACTTATATATCGACCACTTGCGTAGGTTGTAACTTCATCTTTTCCATCCTTCCCGTTCTCTAAAGTAAACGTAGCCTGATGTGACCCTTTATTAACATATTTGCGAACGTATTTGATTGACTTCACTGAAAGGCAATACTCTACGTTCATGTGAGCGTTACATGTTCTTAATAGTACTGGATTATAAAGAACCACCCAACGATTATCTATTGTAACACCCTTGATATTGATAGATAATCCACCGTCATCCAGAGAACGTCTCCTGTAATGAGGATAACCATCATCACCGATTTGAGTTTCCTTAATAAGAGCCTTAGGATAACGTTTGCTCCACGAATTATCTTTCATGCATGGATATTTTCGGTTTAAACTTCCACAGGGGCCATGTATCATATTACTTTTAACAATTTCGTGAAGCTCAGGATCACGATCGTGCTTAGGTATTTCAGCACACATAATATTGTCAATTAGATCCGGAGTGATGCGATGTTGAAGCCATAAAAGTATGTGAATATGCGGAAGACCTCGCTTTTGCCATTCCGTCGAATACATATAGCATCTCACTTTACCGAGTATTTTCCCTTTTATCAATAAATCCATGATCTTTTTTACCTTCAATCGAAAGACACGCGAAATAATATCGTATTGATCATGAGATTTTTGTCCAGAAAGTAAGTGCTCATTTATGTCACGCCAGCGTGGGTTACATGTAAAAGTAATAAGAAGGTCGGGACGACCGTAATGTCTAACATAGGTCATGGCGTCTTGCGTTTTTTCGTGCAAGGAAATGCAATCCAAAATATGCCAAGAAAAGAACAGCCCAAATCGTTAAATATAATCCGCCAGAAATATTTAGGTATAGTATGTACTATTAGATACGGTGACCACTCATCATCGGGTATATGTAACTCAGTGAAAACACAACGATAACGTGTTTTAAAATACTACTAACGCCATCTGTTGTCAACATTTAGAACTGAAAATCATTTTTTTTCTCCTTAATTTATTCATTCCATTAGGTACTGATAGGTTCAAACTAATATATTTACATCCTCCATCATCCCTTATTTTTTTCCCTTAGAGGTGGAATTCATCAAAATCCTTTCTTAGAGGATGTATACGTCACAATATCTTTATGTATGCAAAGTCTCAGCCCGATCGGTTCAAAATTGACAGAGTTTCATACAAAGTTTTCCCCATTTCATCCCCTTGGGGGTAGAATTATTCAAAAATCTTTTTTTGCGGATGCCTACGTCATAACATTTACCTGCATCCCAAATTTCAGCTAAATCCGTCCAGTTGTTTGGGCTATGCGTTGATAGACCACTATGTCAGTCAGTCATCTTTGGGTTATATATATTTAGAGATTCATCGGAGTGTTTTGAAAAGTCAGATATATTTGTCGCGTAGCTCAAAATGTAAATACTGGCATATCAATATTCTAGCATTGAATGTTTTGTCAATTCAGCTTAATAGGTTTTTTTATGATATCCGTTGTACGTGGGCGACGCGACGCGGACGGTTAGAAAGAACCAGCCGGGGGGACAATGAATACGTGATTTATTCTTGGCTTTTGAAAGGAGAAAAGACAGAGAATTCTGGGAGCTCTTCGCCTAAGGCAGTGGTCTACGAGTGGTGCGAAAGTTCAAAGGGTTCTCTTGACGGTCAATCAAGGCCGGTATTTTGTTTAGGGAGATAGTTTTCCTGAGTGGAACCTTTATTTTTTTTTATTCTTGAAAAACAGGCGGTTAGCGTGATTTTGGGTAGTTTTTTTATTTTGGAGCGAAAATTGAGCAGTGTAGTGCAAAAGTTCAAATAGGGAATGAGCAGAAAAAAGGCAGCGGTGAGTTAAACATACATATGTACTAACAATTTTATGATTTTGGGAAGGAGTTAGCTATAATAAATTTGTTTTCAGAGTGGACCTAATAATTGCCTTATAGATATTTAGCGGTCAGAAATCATCGGTCAAGTATTCCATCACTCTCGTATATTATAGTAATTTCCGGCGAAGGCACAAATATTGAGTTTTTTTTTCATTTTGTTGTATTTTCATTTTTTGGGTTTTATTGTTCTTTGCCTATTTTGTTATATAATTTTTTTTCATTTTCTTTATTATTGAATATATAATCTTCTGAAGGTTTTAAGCAGGCTTTTATTTCAAACTCTACCATAGTAACCTCTTGAAAAAGTGTCTGCAAATTTTTTTCAAAGATATTTTCTTTCTGCAACTAAAGACTTCCTCCTAGTGCAGCCATGTTTTTTCTGTTAAGTTGGCAGTTATGACTTTTTCTTCAACGCTGAACTGAATGCCCCGCCATTATTCTTATAATTCAACCACGTTGTCTCTCAACCGAATCTCTCCCATACTCATTTCATCCTTCTATGCATCGATAACGTCGCACACGTCTCTTTCCTACTCACTAACGTAGTGACGTTCCTCATATACTGTGGATATTTTGCTCATTTACTTCAAGGTTGAAATTGTTTATAACTTACTTTTGGTTTTAATTTTATGTTGTCCATTGATAGTTTTTAGAAGACATTTTTTTCTCGGAAAGGTAGCTTGATATGCAAAAATCATAAGCGGAGAATAAGTTGTCTTTTCAGTTGTTTTATCAAAAAATATAAAAAACTACAAAAAATGTAAGTGGCGTTCTGAGACGCCACTGGACCTAAATCAGTGCCTTATCACTTCAAATAACTGCAGCAAAGTGCAACCAAATCGGTATGAGGTCATTTATGATATTTTATAAATGCAGTTTTCTTTCAAACTTCAAAACTCTGTTTCTCAGAAATGAAGCAACATCGAACATATCGTTCATTGGAACTTTTTTCTTAAAACAACCTAACGAATCACCCTCTGAAGTTTCGTATCGTACATGAAAGTGATTTTCATAATTTGAATAGGAGTGATACCTTGAAGGAAATCTATGCTGGAATTTCCTACAAGCACCTAGTTGAGGTGTGTTCTTTATTCGATTATGAGAAATACAAGAGTTTATCAATTATGAAAACATTTTGAGCTGAGACCCATCAATTCTTTTTTTTTTACTGGAATTACAGTTCCAAACTTTTTTTTTGCAAAAATGGAAATTATTGATTTTACTGTCAGTAAACACTAGATGCCAATAATAATGATGATACTGAAAACTGGCATGTGAACTGTGTATCGCAGCTAGGTAGATTATTTCGAATCATAGCATTTGATAATGCCTGCTGCAGATGCAAACAAAACATCAGTCTCAAGAACCTGCAGATTACGATTCATAAACCCGGAACAGCAAATGATTCAGTAATAGATTAATTTCCAATCAGATGTTACAATTATATCTATCAAGCAAATAATCTACTAGACACTGGCTGTGAAAGCCTACAAACCATTTTTGCTAATACTTCATCACTGTTCCAGAGAAAGTTAAACAGAATGAGCATATTTACCAAATAGTTGACTAGTGGTATGAAAATTGGACCAAGCATTCCTATAACTGAGCTCAGACTCATTCCCAGCCCTCTAACAACAGTTGGATATAGTTCAGATGCCATCAACGGTAGTACGACGAAAGACGAAGAAATTCCCATTTTGCCAACACAATACAAAATTAACGTAGTCACGTAATCTAAAAAAAAAAATAAAATTAAAGAGAATATATTGTTAATCTAGCAGCTGCAGATTCTGAATTCTCGTTAGATCTCGATGAAACGTTTTCATAAATAATAACAATCTACAAATCAGGTTTTCAAAACGTTTGTATCCATCAGAAATTATGAAAGTGATGATATATTACATAATTTTTTTCATTCCATTTTTATAAAATTGAATTATTATTGTTTTATTCAATAAAGAAAATGTATTCTTGTATTGTTAAAAAATCATTACTGGTATTACATCTGTGATTCGGATAACAGTTTTGTTCAACAAAAACTCAGAACGGTGTTTTAAAGTAATCAGTTCAATATTCTGATGATTTTAAACTAATCATGTCGGTCTTTGTAATGAATTGAAACGATTCCTGATGCCCAATAACGTTTTGTAACTTTCAGTAGATTAGCATTATTTCATATATTTTTTTTTGGAAAGAAAGTTTTTGGCTTTCTACTACTCCATCTTGATACAAAAAACAAGGATGAGTGAATCTTCCAAGGAAAGAAAGGAAGTAATCAATTTTAAAATAAGTAACTCTATATATGGATGTGTAGATCATGCAAAGAAGTAACTTTCAGACACAAACTGAAAGAAAGTCCTCCTGAAACGGCTACTTTCATATTAACATTGAATTACACGAAAGAAACATTCTTTAGAAACAAATACTTCTATATGAACACTGAATTATACAGAAGATACTTTTCTCTACTCAGTTTGTATTTCAAACATTTGTTGTGGAATAAAAATCAGATATCATTCACATGATATTCACATTCAAAAACTTTCTTTCCCCCAAAAAAAAAATTAACCACTCCTAAAAATATAACCCCTTCAATTCATATATTCCATTCATTTCATATGTAGGACACCTCATTTGGTTCATCCGTTAATATGTATTAACAATCGTTCATTTTGGTTAAACTGAGATATAGTCTAAGAGCCAGTGAGCGGCTACCTGCATGTATTTGACCAGACTTAGGTTTTTGTACATTGAGGCCCCTATACCTACCGTACATGATATGGGACCTCACTAAGCCCAAAGTGGTGGACGCGGTGAGTGCGCAGGTAGGACAGGTATCAATTTTTTAGTAATTTTAAATGCATTCTACGACGTTTGCCGTTTTGATATTTTGAAATATATTATTATTGTGAACGGAAAATAATAACGGCTGAACATTACCTCGCGTTCAACATTGTGGCAAACATATTTGAAAATGTTAAAAATACATGTTTTTTAAAGTAATTGACGAGATCTGCCATTGATACATTCCACTTATTATAGTTTCAAAAACTTATATTAATTACGGCAGAAGTATTCAGTGCGTACAAGCATCAGAAAATAACATTATCTGAGATACTACCTGGTCAGATATCTATGTATTACGATAACTGTTTTACATCAAAATAATGTATTTATGATTTACTCAATTACTGCATTTATTGAAATTAAATTTTTTTATGTAGTTCATACAATATTTAAAAATTTTGACAATAAAAAAAAGACGATAAAATACGATAAAAATTTAAATATCAAGGTATATTAAGGTAACATACATATTTATAAGTATTCATTATTCTTCATTCATCATCATCCGGGTAATGTTCATCGTTGTGTAAATCATCTTCATCATCAATTGAGTCAGAGTCTGTAAAAATTAAACGTAAATTGTAAAATATTAATAACTTATAAATAGATTTGTACATATTCGATAAAGAATTGATTTTTATCAACTTACCAGGAATATTGGCGAAAAAAATCTGAAATCATTGGTGGTGTTGAACATTCACCTTTAATTAGTCGTTGACTAGTTAAATATTCAGGTTATTTTGTTTTAGTTATTCCTAAAATTTCCTGTCTCAAAATAGCAGCAGCTGCTTGCAAGGTATCTTGGTCTTTTAGGTGCGCAAATAATGAGTCATCAATAGTTGAAACGCCCTTAGGAGCAACAACTTTTTTTTTGACATCAAAATTTGAATGTTATCATTAAATTTCTTGTGAATTTTTTCTTGTGAGTAATGCGCGGCAAATATTGATGCTGCATCGGAGCCTTCACTCAATTCTTTAAACATATCGAGATACTCTTTATGCAAATATGACAAAAAATAACAACGTCCCCGTTTTATGACATTCTCCTCAATTAAATTACAAATTTCTCTATAAACGGTTTCATGTGTCTCTGAGAGATATGCCATGAAATACGGAAAGGACTTTTCACCAGTGACCGTTTGTGATTTCTAAAATTTTGTCGACAAACATCATGATAGTACACTTCATCAGAGGCAACACTTTGTATTTTTATCAAAGTTTCATTGTGAATTTCAGAATCTGGTTCCAACTTTGATGATATATTATTTGAAATTGATTTTTTTTTGAAGTACGTAATGGCTCATTCTTAGACTTATATTGTTTTTTTTCTTTTATCACAAAAAGAGCACAAATTCAGGTTTGCTGAAGCCACAGTTTCAGGATTCTGAACAGTTAATGGTGCTGCTGAATCTTCCAATTGTATTTCCTCGAACGGGTGGTCTACTGCGACGTCAATATTTTTTTCTACAACTTCATCTATCTCAGGAACGTTCACGTCATTTAAAACGGAATCCTGTACCATTGCATCATCAATTATTGAACTATTAACTGATGTTGATGGTTGTTCAGTCGCAGACGACGACGTACTTTGTAATGAAACTTTTTCGTTGGCATCTGCCAAAAAATTTTTTTTAAAGCTGTAAACGTCTTATAACAACTACCATGATAGCCGGCATCAAAAATAACTTCCGGTAAAATTACATCGTTGTACTTTAATTCATGAAGTTTTCGTAACCTCAAAATATTTCGACATTTTACCATAGTCTCTTCCGAAAATATTAATAATTTTTCAATTTTTGATGGGTCACAAAAACACACTGCACTTTATCTATTTCACTCGACATAATGTCAAAAATATTCAACGATTAATAATCCAATGAACAAAATAATATAAAGCAACACTATCAATTTTTTTAAATTCACGCAACACGAGGCATCTATATGAAGGTTGACAAGAATACTGAATACGGAAACCATTAGATTTGGAATTATAATAGAGCCCTCTCGAGTATAAATCTTATATTATTCAAATGGCAGGTAGTAAATATCAGAAAAAATATCATAAAACAGTTATCGTAATACATAGACATCTGGTCGGGTAGTATCTCAGATTTTGTTATTTGCTGATGCTTGTACGCACTGAATACGTCTGCCCTAATTAATATAAGTTTTTGAAACTATAATAAGTGAACTGTATCAATGGCAGATCTCGTCAATTACTTTGAAAAACATTTATTTTTAACATTTTCAAATATGTCTGCCACAATGTTGAACGCGAGGTAATGTTCAGCCATTATTATTTTCCGTTCACAATAATAATATATTTCAAAATATCAAAACGGCAAACGTCATCAAATGCATTTAAAATTCATAAAAATTGATACCTGTCCTACCTGCGCACTAACCGCGTCCACCACTTTGGGCTTTGTGAGGTCCCGTATCATGTACGGTAGGTATAGGGGCCTCAATGTACAAAAACCTAAGTCTGGTCAAATACATGCAGGTAGCCGCTCACTAGCTCTTAGACTAATAGTAATGTATCAAAGTTATAATGACATTTTTTGTGTTGACATTATTTGGAAGCTGCTGTAGTTAATAGCCGTCAAATGAATATTAACCCTGAGCCGTGGTGAGCTGTCAAATAAATATCAACTTCAAGCTTTTGATAAAATTCTGGTACCAGAATCTCATAATTTTCATGGCATGGAACAGTAGAATACTAACAATGTATAATATGCGCAATTTCAGTTACCTATTCTACCTATTGGGTTGGTTACTTTTAAACGAACAATGAATTGAAACTTGCAAGTTATATATCTTTTAGTTTTGACTACAGTTCCTTTCAAGACTTCAAAAATGTACGAAATTATTTACCATGGTAACTGAAATTGATATTTTTGGTGTTCACATTATAGTTTATCTTATCTGATTATTTTTACTTGGAAATGTTTTTTACTCTAACTTAAAATGTAGTTGTATCGAACTTTGACTGTAACTCTGAGAGATGAACTTTGGAATAATTTTATAATTCGTTAATATAAAAGTTTATTCCTGATATCGAATGATCAGCAACAATAGAAGTTGCTTGATCAGTTCTATAACAAACTATATATTTCGTTTCACTATTTTTATCCGAGAACACACATTGTCTTAGTATTCTGACAGTTAAGATGGTTTATAGTTCGACTTCTTTTTCCAGCGATGGTCTATTTCTTACTGGTTAAAAAAAACTTCAACCCTGAATATCTGCTAACTGAAGGAGTCCCGTCTCCGACTGCGATATATTTTCGACAATTTGGTAGAGTGGTTGTATGATTGTATAATAACGACTTACTGGGAAAAAAATCAAGAATTCAATATATTGCTTTATTGAATTCAAGGACATTGGCTCTGGATGCACATCATCACCGGCAGCAGGAGGTGGTATATCTGAATGAGGATCTAGAGGTGATTTCGCATTAAGGTGGAAGTAACCAGGTTCAATTCAATGCCACAAAAACCCAGGCATCGGTTTTCTCCAAATTGATATATGTGTTCGAACCGGATATAATAATGTCAGAATAGACAATTCCGCTTTCCATACCCTGAAGTTGCTGGATTCCATCCAGGAGAGAGCCGTCTGATTGAAGACACGAAGAATAATTGCAACATCGAAGAAATTTTGGAGATTTGTGTCTCTTCTATAGATACTTTCACGGGAAGTGTTCAAGTGACTTGGTACATTTGATTCCACCAAGAGCGGTACATATCAGAAATACACGACGGACTGTGGCTGCTCATCGTTTTGAGGTTCACCTCGTATCTCACTATTTGGAAACTCTTCCATTTGGATTGCTGCGTTTATGTGGAATGAATTTTCTGAAAACATATTTCTAATGAATTTATTCTCCAGCGATTCAAATCCAACGTGAATCGCTTTTTTCGTACATTCACCGCTCTTAGAGCTCCTCATGGATTTTCTTGTAGTGCTTGTTTTTTATCCTTGAAAGAAATGAAGTTTCAAAAAGTCCTTTTGAAAATCAATCTTGTACAAGAACTAAGTGAAGATGTCCCCGATCGAAAACAGTAGTTTTGTTAAACCATGAAACATTCAATTGTTACACCCCAACTACCTCAATCGGTTACGTTTCAGCGATAAATCATTTCATCAATAGACAGAACTGCCGATACCGGAGTGATCGCAATCCTCAATGGATTGTAAAAGCCTCTGCAAAAAATTCTGAGAAATTGAACGCTTGGACTGAAATTGTGGGTAATACGGAAATTGGTCCTTTCTCAACTACGTAAACCTTACTAAATGTTCATACTCGCATCTTTGAGAAGAAATTCAAACACCTGGAATTGTTATTGCTGTTATTGAGATGATGCTCTCAATAAGGATCCAATTTTTCAGCAGTATGTGAGACTTTGGCACTTCTATATCCCTGTCAGAGAATACTTAGAAGAAAAATTTCCTGATCGTTGGATTTGGCTCAGAGCGCATATCGAATGGCCACCAAGGTTCCCTGAGTTCACTTTCCTTGACTAGAGGAATGGATATTTTTAACGAAACTATCAAATTTGCAAGAACCACCACAACGAATCACAGATGTGTGGGCTACTATAACACCAGAAATTTTGAAAAACGTAAGGGCGGAATTTAAAAAAAATAGACTGTATCATCATCGAGAGGTTAGTTCCAAAACCAGCACCCAATCACCAAAAATTGAATACTGAGATGACGTCTTCAGGAGATGAAGAAAATTATTTTCTATTTTCAAGAGTTAGGAATGAGTTTTTTCATCTGACTCCTAGAGTGAGTAATCAGGTTCATTCATCTTATTCCTAGAATTAGGAATGAGTCTCCTGAAGATGCCAACTTGTTTGGTGCGTCGAGAAGAGTTTGACATTTTTGATGACTGGCCTCCGAAACGATAGGCAAAATTGTTAAATACGACAAGTTACTGATAAATATAAGATTATTCTATGTGAAAAATACTTTGACTTTCACGCAGTAACTTATCACCTGATAGAAATAAAGGTTACTTTTGGGAAAGAAAGGTTTTGGTTTTCGACTTCTTCATCTCTATGATAAAAATCTTACAATCTTCAAAAAATTTACTCATTACAAAGATTTACAGATCATGCAAAGAAGTAACTTTTTGAGACAAACTGAAAGAAAAAGCCCTATCGAAACAATTACTTTCATATAAACATTGAATTACACGAAAGAAAAGAACTTTCAAAACAATATCTTTTATATGAACACTGAACTATACGAAAAACACTTTTCTCTATTCAGTTTGTACTCCAAACATTCGTTATGGAAGTGAATCAGATGTCACTCACAGAGGTAATGTATATGTGAAAGTAGCTGTTTCGAAATGAATTTTTCTTCCAGTTTGTGTCTGAAAGTTACTTGTTTGTATGATCTCTACATCTTTGTATAGAGTTGATGTTTTAAATTCGTTGCTTTCTTTCTTCCTTTGAAAAATTTCCATATTTTTTTCGTAGAAGCCACAACTTTCCTTTCTTAAAAATCAATCTCTCCTGAAAATTCACCCTTCTCAATTTATATAAAGATTTATATTATTTTTTGGGAAAGAAAGTTTTTGGCTTTCTACTACTCCATCTTGCTACAAAAAACAAAGACGAGGAAATGTTCCAAGGAAAGGAAGGAAGTAATCAATTTCAAAATGAGTAACTCTGTACATCCATGTACAGAGGAAAGGAAGGAAGTAATCAATTTCAAAATAAGTAACTCTGTACATGAATGTACAGAGTTACTCATTTTGAAATTGATTACTTCCTTCCTTTCCTTGGAAGATTTCCTCGTCCTTGTTTTTTGTATCAAGATGGAGTAGTAGAAAGCCAAAAACTTTCTTTCCCAAAAAATTAATCACTCCTAAAAATATAACCCCTTTCAATTCATTTATATTATCATAATAACAAATTTTTCACGATACAATTCACTTACCATTTTGCACCAAGAATGTTGCTAAACAGGAAGTTCCTCCGATTATCATGCTGATGCACAAAGTCCAACGTCTACCAAGTCTTTCCATAGCAGGCCACAGAAACAAATACGTCGGTAGCTCCACCGCTCCACCAAGAAAAAAATTCAAAAATTCGTCTCCACCTAGGGATGGGGCATAATAAGATAATCCCACATATACGCTTGTGTTCGTGAACCAGATAAACGTTATGATGATCGTTTTCCATCGCAAATTTTTAGATCTGAATAAATCCCTGATTCCATACTTTGAGTGTTGTTCTTTGAGTTTTCTCTTCTCTTCCAAATTGTTTTTCTTGTAAGTAGTAATGAAGTCGCTTGGTATAACCTTCCCGTTTATCCTGAGGCCACATGAAAGAAGTGATGATATATAAGTAGAAAGTTTCGTGAACTGTAGCATAATATTTATTTAAATAATGGAATGATAACACTTCTTGTATTAAGGCATATCTCTTTGAACATTAAGCTTAAGAATGAATTTGTTTTTTTATTCATTGTTGCATAAGCTGATTCTTTCATAACATTATTTTTTATTTTAGAGAATGAAATTCCAAAGATGTTTAAGAGTGAAAAGGAATTACACAATGTATCAGACTACTATTCAATGGAATACACCAAAAATATGGGAAATATCTATTTTACTATTAATTATAAATAATTATCAACTAAATATTAAAATTAAGGAACCGTTTTTTTTAAATCATAAATTCTATTGTTCTTTAAGGTTTTGGAAAATCTTTTTTATTTTTTTTTATTCGTTCATTTAAAAAAAAAAATGTTATAAGCAAATTATTTTTTTGATTTTATTTTTTTCAATACTTCGTTCTATGAAGAAAGTAACTACGTGTTGTTACTTTTATCTTATTTTTTATAAAATTTCAATATTGTGATACCTTGATACTTGTCTTTTTCATTTGCTCTAATTATAATAACTTTCAAACTATTGCGTTATGATGAATATGCTTCAAGTCTTTTTTGTTCATTATGAATTAAATAACAATTTAAGCCTTTTACTAAAGTTGTAGTCCTATGAGAATGAAACATTCAAATTACACTGTGTTCAAGATGACAAGGGCCAGTATGTGGCCCTGTACTCCTCGACGCCCGTTTCATCAACCAAGTTGAAGTCTTCATAAAATTATAATTTGAGATATCTTGATCAGGATTCAAAATATTTTTATTTACAACTAATCCAAATAAAAATTTAAATTGTTGTTTTTTTTGGAGATGAAACATTGAACTGAAAATCTGTACAGGCTTCTAGTGAAGCTTGAAAAGTAGCAATGACAAGTTGTGTTTCGGTTTCCAATATTTCCTCAAATAACGACAGAGAAAAAATGATAATGAATTGATGGATTTCAGTTCTTTTCAAATATCTCCGGACTTAATTATCATTTTTTTTGTTAACTTTCAATGTGTTGAATATTGCCACATTTCACGTCAAGACATTTTATTTTATTTATCAACTTGCAATGTTTGTATGTATTTAGTGGACAGTTCAAAAAATAAGTTAATGTTCAAATTTCGCGGGCTTCATACATTCGATAAGCGATTTTTTCATTTTTTCATGTTACACTTGTCTCGAACATATGTTTATAGTTCCAGCTGTTCAGCATGTTTGATTTGTTGGTGAGAGGCATAAAACTTAGAAATGTTTTGCGTGTTCGAAGATTTTCTGATATCGAAAAAAAATATTGAAGAATTCACAACAAATTTCCTGAATTAAATGGATTTGAGTGCTCAAAAACACTTGAAATGTTGGGAGCGGCATACGGCATAAGGTCAAGAAGGTATTAATCACAACGCTCGCCCTGAACGCCACAGCACATCAACAACCGATGGAATTTTTGGAAAAGTAAAAAAAACATTATAGAGAATAATCGAATCATTATTAGAGAAGTTCGTTCCAAAATTGCTGAAATTTTACCAAAAACCCATCGCATGATCACCGCTCAGGAATTGTTAAATGACGTCAATTGCGATCCAGATTTACTCAAAAATGTCATAACTGATGATGTATCATGGGTGTATGGTTATGACATCGAAAGCCAAGTTCAATCATCCCAATGGAACAGCCCAGGCGAGCCAAGACCAAAAAAAGCACGCCAAGTTCGATCGAATGTCAAGGTTATGCTCACTGTTTTCTTTGGTTTTCGTAGCGTATTGCATCAGGAGTTCTTGCCACGGCCAATAAAGAGTATTATCTTGAAGTTGTGCGTCGCATGTGGAAAACCAATTCATGGATTTTGCATCACGGTATTGTGATGCTATTAAGTTGTACCAAATCACACAAAAATCGTATTTTCGCCAAAAACTGATATTTTTGCTACTTCCAGGATTGAGAATTATAAAAATTGTCCGTAAAAAAATTATCCAAAATAGAAAGATACGAATATCACTTTTGTTTGGGTATCTTCTCATAGACATGTTTGGGTGATATCTGAGGTATGCCAATTGTTGCATACGTTTTGTAGAAATCAGAACAATTCATAAAAGAAATAACGACAGAATTGTTATTACTGATGATGCTAGATATTTCAAATGGAACGCTAAAAAAATATTGAGTGTGATAGACCCAGAAATTGTGATTTTATAGCTTCATCAATATTTGTAACGAAGCAGATAGGTACGTATCTGAAAAGAAATTGATGATAACCGTGTTGACACGAAACGTTCGATCAAAGATTCATTGTTACATCGTTATATGATTTTTCGCATGGAATTAATATTTTCTTAAATTTTTCAATATTTTCTGAAATAACAACTCTAATTTGTGTAAAAAAGAGCATTTTGAATTTACCTTCTTCACCTAGAAAGAGCGAAAGTCCCTGTGAATTTTCTTGACTACTGTACAATGTTCAACATGATAGTTACCTTTTTACTCATTCAATCGTCTTCATATCTGTTACGGTTTAGAATATTGCAATATTACCATATGATAACAGAAACAGCCTGCATGAAAATTACAACGGTTATTATGTACTGTTACGGTTTAGTCTAGTTCACATGTACTTTTTTTTGTAACATTTTTCAGCCCTGTCCAAAAATTACGACCAAGGTGTTATTCGATTCGTATTTTTGCCTAGAAAGTTTAAGGAAAGGTCCGAAAACGCGCCGATAAAAATTACAAAAGTTATAAACAATTAAGTGAAAAAAAT